GTTGATTTTTTTCTCTATTCTATATTTTTTATTTCATTTTTTGCCTATATTTTTAGTATTTCTTTCCTTTTAATTTATTTGCCTTAATTTAATTTAATTGCCTTAATTATTTTCTAGCTCCTGGAAATGGTCATTAGATCATTGATTTCTTGTCATTCTTTTTTTGTTTCTCCTAAAATACACATGTAAGGGTATACATTTTTCCTGTTATCAGAGTTTAACTGTATTCTATAAGTTTTAGCATGTGAGTTCTTCATTATTATTCAGTTCATTATTATTCAGTTCATTATTATTCAATACAATGAATGTGGGCATATTCAACCTACTTGAGCAACCTACTTGAGTGTTTGAAGAGATAAATATTTTCTATTTTCACTGAAATTTCTAATTTCTGATTTATTTTTTGAAATATAGGTTATTTAGAAGTGTTACTTAGTAATTTTTAAACATTTGGATTTGCAAGCATTTACTATTAATCTTTCTAGTATATTTTCACTTTTGTAAGAGGACATACTCTGTATGCTTTCAATCCCTTGAAATTTACTGAAATGTACCTTATGCCTCAAAATATGATTTATTTTATTAAGTGTTCCATGTGCACTTGAAAAGAATATAATCCTGCTGCTGTTTGGCTCAGCGTTGTATGTATGTCACTAAGGTCATGTTTGTTTATCATGTTGTCAAGTCTTTGCCTTTACCGATTTATTGTCTGAAAGTTTATTCTATCTGTTGCTGAAAGATGTCTTTGAAATCTTCAACTCTGATAATGGATTTGTTTTTCCTTTTAGTTCCGTTGGTTTTTGCTTTGCACATTTTAGGTTTTGTTTTTAGGTGCATACAAACTTCAGATTATCAAATCTTCCTGCTGAATTGACTTTTTGTTATTATGAAATGCTCTTCTTTATCTCTGGGAATACTTCCAGCCTTACAGTCTTGCTTTGTCTGATATCAGTATAGCTAAGCCAGCTTTCTTTTGGTTAGTGTTTTCATGGCATAGTGTTTTATATCCTTTTACTTTTAACCTTTTTGTGTCTGTCTCTTGCAAGCAACATATACTTAGGTCCTATTGCTGTGTTTTGTTTTTCCAGTCTGACAATCTTTTTATTTTAATTGGATGATCGAGTCCACTGAAATGTAATAAATTCCTGATATTTTTGGTGTTAATTCTATTATCATTTTTGTTTTCTATTGGCTTTATCTCATTTTTGTTCCCTTTTATCTCTTTTGTTGCCTTCTTTTAATAAAGGGCTTTGAGTATTCTATTTCCTCCCTCTATTTGTTAGTTATACATTCTTTTATTATTTGTTCAGTGTTACTCTAGAGCAGGACTTGGTGAATTTTTCTTGGTTAGAGAGTAAATATTTTAGGCTTTAAGAGCCACCTACAGTCTTAGACTTTTCCTCCCCCTCCTCCCGCTATTTAAAAATGTAAAAACAGTTCTTAGCTCTCAAACTGTATAAAACAGGCTCTGGGCCTGGTTTGAGCAATGGTGATAGTTTGCCAACATCTGCTAGAGACGTACCCTGTGTCTTACCGGAATCTATCCTTCTGGGGGTAGCTCAGGGTAGAGCATTTGACTGCAGAATCTACCCTTCAATTATTAATTTTACTACTTCCTGACCATTACAGGGATTTTACCAAACTTTAACTCTCCTTACCCAACTCTCCTTTTCCTGTTACGCTGTTTTGGTCATATATTGTATTTCTCTATCTATTTGAAATCCTACAAAATATGATTATTTTTTATTGTTTTAAATAGACTATACTCATTTAGATTTATTCTCATATGTACTATTTCTCATACTCTCTATTGCTTTCTGCACTACTGTTCTTCTAACAGTAATATGTCTTTTGGTATGTCTATCTTGACAACACATGATCTTAGTTTTCATTTGCTTAAAATATTTTTTTGTCTTCATGTTTAAGGGTATTTGCACTGAATGTAGAACTCTAGACTAGCAGTTCTTTTGTTTCAGCATTGTAGCTTTTTCCTGTTGTCTTCCGGCTTCTCTTGTTTGTGTGGAGCAGGTCTTACTGTTACTCCTTGACATATCTTTTTTTTCCTCCTCTGGCTATTTTAAAATGTTTCTCTTGTCTTTGCTTTTTTGAAGCTTTACTGTAATGTGGCTTTGTATAGTTTTCTTTGTTTTTGTTTTTTTTTTGTGTGTGTTCAAATTTTGCTGGAGCTCCTTGCATCTATCTATTGATGTCATTCTTGGGTTTTATCTCTTCAAACACCGCTTCTGCCCGTTGTCTCTCTTCTCACCTTCTGGGATTCAAACTCCATATATGCTGGTTTCTCTATCACGTCCCACATCTTTCTTATCCTTTCTCCCTTTCCCTCTGTCTCTCCCTTTATCTCTGTATGAACGTTATGTGTGTTTTATCTTTTTTTCCTCTGTCTCAATTGGTTACTTTTCCACTGACCTAATTTCCAATTTACTAATCCTTTCTTCTGCTGCTAAATTCATCTGTTGAATTCTTAATTTTAATTATTACTTTCTCAGTTCTAGAATTCCTATGTGTTTCTTTTTATATTTTTTTATTTTTTGAGACAGAGTCTCACTTTGTTGCCCAGGCTAGAGTGAGTGCCGTGGCGTCAGCCTAGCTCACAGCAACCTCAAATTCCTGGGCTCAAGCAATCCTGCTGCCTCAGCCTCCGAGTAGCTGGGACTACAGGCATGCGCCACCCATGCCGGCTAATGTTTCTCTATATATAATAGTTGGCCAATTAATTTCTTTCTATTTATAGTAGAGACAGGGTCTCACTCTTGCTCAGGCTAGTTTCGAACTCCTGACTTTGAGCGATCCGCCCGCCTCGGCCTCCCAGAGTGCTAGGATTATAGGTGTGAGCCACTGCGCTTGGCCTTGTTTGTTTTTAAATAGATGCCAATTCTCCATCTTTCCTCTTTTTTGATGAAAATATTTATTAATATTAATACAATATCAATATAGTCTTTGATAAGTATAGTATCTGGGCCACATGTACATCTCTTTCTAAAGTCTCTTTCTATTTATTTATTTTAAAGCTTTGTTTCATTTCACGTCTCCTGGAATGCCAGGTAGGTTCTGATCGAATACTGGATGTTGTGAATGAAACACGTTTGTGGCTCTGGATGGTGTTGCCTTCCTTTATAGTGCACTTTTTTTTTTTTTTTCCTAGCAGGCAGTTAAAGAAGGGGCAGATCACCTTGGTCCAATCAAGGGGTGAGATATTTTTGAGGCTAGATTTTAGGTTTGGTGAGGGATGGTCTTTGGCTCGTCCTTACTCCTAGTGTATATGTGGTGTACAGTCCTTCTGTTGTCTCAACTGAAAATCTAGATTATTTACCAAAGTCTCTCCTCCCAGGTAGGCTCTGAGCATCAGTGTTTTCCCTTCCTGTCACTTTGAGACAGCTCAAACTCTGACTGGGTTTCCAGCCCTTTGGAAGCCTTTCACTGCCTAGTTTCTTGGTCTCTGGCCCATCCCATGCTACGTTTAGGAATCAGGAGATTCCCTGAGGGGCAGTCATATGCGGAATGCCTGGCTCACTTCTGTATGGCCCCTTTCTCCAGGATAAGGCTCCTATTCTCTGGCCACCTTGGTGGCTTTGAACTCTAATTTCTGTCTGCCCGGACTAGCAAGGCTGCTGCCATCCTGGCCCAGTGTTCTTACCCCGTCTCAAAGACACCCTTTGAGAACTGGCAAATGCCCTGAGGGGAAAATGTGAGGGAAATTTCAGATTTACTCACCGCATTTCCCTTCTCTCTGGGATCTTGGCCCCTAAAGTCCTGGCTGCCTTCGTTACTCTCTGATGACTCCTAACAGCTGTTTTCTGCAATATATTTAGCTTTTATAGTTGTTCTCTGCAGGACGGTTAACCTGACACAAGCTACTCTGTCACAGACAGAAGGCAAAGTCTCCAGAGATTTATTTTTAAAAGTGGTTTCCAGGACATGTCCTGAGGCCATCGCACATTTAGCTGTGTCTCCTGCATCTTTCCGAGGCATACCCAACGGACGGCTGGCGAGGGCTTTGGTGTCTTTAGCACCAGCGAAAATAAATTGTTAAGCTCTGTTGAGTATGACTTTTAAGTATTAACTATAAATATTTAAAAATTGAGATGAATGTGCCAAGTATTATCATTCTTAGTCAGATCACTCAGTTTACCATAACACCAGTTCTCCAACTTGCAAGGTGTCATGGTCTTTCGCTGTATGTTTTTGCGAGGCATCAATTTCAAGCACGTGCGCATACACACATGTACGGGTCCTGCTCCCTCCCCTGGGAATGTGGACCTGAGCTGTAGTCTGACTCTGCTGTTATGTCGCTATGTGACCATGGTCCAACCTCTTTCATCCTTGGCCCTCAGTGTCTGCATCTGGAACCGGAGGTGGGGTGGGGACCGGGATGGGACCGGGCAAGCTCCCGGGGTCCTCCCTGCTCTGGGGGCCGCCGGTCTGTCTTCCATGACTTGGACTGGAGAGTCCTGATTGAACAATCAGACATTTAAGCTGCTCTGAGCCATCAGCTTTATGGGGACCGTAGAGCTCACTCTCAAGCCAGCAGCACCTGTGGCTACGGGGCCAGTTCTCTGTGGGGCAGGGGACCCGGTGGCCCGGCTGGGGGTGTCTTTCTGGACAGGCAAGTGCCCCGGTCAGTGCACCTCACAGGGACCCACACCCCAGGGGAATGAAGAATGAGAGAAAACATCTCACACTCTACCTGGCCTCCTAACTCTGCATGTAGCCATTTCGGCTGTGAGTTTCAAAACTAGAGGTGGCTACTCCTCAAGTTTGTCCAAAACGTCTTCTTCCTGAGAGTCCTAGATATGCTCTCTTGTAAAAAATGTCTGAAAAACATCGACCCTTCCTTTGCCCAGAGATAGCTTTCAAATCTTGGGTGGAGGATCCTTCTCTGTGCTGTCTCTGAGCCTGTCTCCTCCCCTCCCCTGCCCAGCTCTGCTGTGGGCAGTGGGCAGGGCTGGACACTCCTCCAGGCTCCTGTCGGTCGGCTCCTAGAGAGTTTGGCCAACAAGCAGCACTGGAAGGAGACTGTGGGCTGTAGCAAAGGAGGAGTCCGTGTACTTCTCTCCCTTCCACTTCTCCTTGGATAGAGTCCCTTGCAGAAGCTGCAAGTTCCAGCACCCCAGCTCCTTGTGGATGGACTAGCTGTGGTTTTGGCATCTGCCAGGTGACCCCTGCCCCCTGACGCAGGTAACTCTGTAGCTTTTCTTTGTTCCTCTAGCCAAAGAGTGGCAGTAGCTTCCTGTTGTGCTCATCTCTAGGGCATCTGATGCCCCCATTGTCTTCCAGCTTCTTCACCATGTATAATACCAGCAAAACACCCCTGTAGGAATACTTGCAGGGCTGATGCTTTCTTGTTTAGATCCTGATGAATTTAGTTGCTAAAAACTGTACTTTGAATATCTTTTACTTTCCTACGTATATAATTTAAGCACCACTGAAGCACATTTGCCTCTGTCACCTCCTAAGGTAGATAGCATTATTTATTCATTCAATAAATATTTATTGAGACACTGCTCAATACCCTAGCCAAGTACTGTGCTAAGGGATACAGCAGTGAACAAAACAGGCACATCTTTGTCCTTGTAGAGCTCACAGCTTTGTGGGAAAGGCAGTCTTGAATCTATAAAATAAAGTGTGTTGAGAATGAGATGCTATTATAACTTATAGACTTAGGGGACAGTCAGAACTGGGTTTATGCCTCAGCCCTGCACCTTACTCTAGGATATGTGGACACGGGCATGTATTCCGCCTGCCTGTGTCCCAGTTTCCTCTTCTTTAGAACAGTATTCAGTTGTCCAGTTCATGCTGCCTCTAACCACTTTACGCGTTCGGTGAGGTTGCTAATGTTACTAACTCCACAGGAGTGTTCGCGATTAAATGACTCGCTATTAGAGGAAGAGGCAGATGCCCAGGAAACAAACACACATCAAAGATTTATTTTTAAAAGCAGCTTTCAGGGGAGCACACGTCCAGTACTTCTGACAGTCACGTGGGGAAGATGAAGCGAGCCTGGAATCGGGACAAGAAGGGCTGGAGTCCAGAGCTTGGGCAGAGACAGTTGCTAGGAGGAGCACGAGTGACCAGGTTAGAGTTAAGCCCCTGGTGAGTGCTGCTGGCAGCCAACCCACAGCCCCACTGGCCGGAGAGCAAGTGGAAGTGGGAACTCTTGTCCCGTTTTGCTTGGCTGAAATGTCACTCCCTCCAGGAAGTGCTTACTGACTTCTAGTCTGTGGGTCTCCCTGTGACATGTCTTCTGTGCTTCCCCTGTCCTCACTGTAACCACCACCACCATCATCTTCATCATCACTGTCGTCGTCATTGCCAACATTTGTTAATCACCCAGCATGTTCCAGACATTGCACTGTGGCTTCTGATGGAAGAAGGCTCAAGTCCAGGGTTGTTTTATTTCTCCACAGCAGTAAGACCAAAACTTCCAGTGGTTCCTAGAGGTGGGAGGGAGCAGTGTGTGTGCACTTGCATGTACCACAATAATTTAATGTTGGATGATTTCAAATAATCAAAGATTCAAGATTAAACTATGCCAAATACAATTTTAGCATTAATTGCGTTGTAAATTTTTTGGAAATTGGGATTCCACATTAATTAGAGGGAAACGTGTTGGCTGTAGTCAGAGTTCAGGGGGTCTGGATTCAGGGATTTGTCCATTCTGTTTGTTATTCCCAGTCTGAGGCTGCACTTGGCATGTCTCGGGGTGTAGCCCCATAAGCTCTGGACCCATTTCCTGCTGCTTCCTGGTCCTCCCTGCTCAACCATGTGCTGGATCCTCCTGGTGTCTCTGTCTCCTCTTTGGATTCAGATTTAAATGAGTCATTTATTTACGTTTTACTCACAATTTTTAATCATTCTAGAAACAATATTCTAATAGCATTAAACAATTGCAGAATCTAATAAAAACCACTCTTAACCTCATTGGAACCTCATTAAGGATAGGGCTGCTCTCCTTGCTAAATTGTTGAAGATTATTTTGGCTGCTTTTATTTTGTTTGTATTGCCCAGGAGAGAGCAGAGGGCGGGGGTAGATGAAATCACAGAATATAGATTCACACACACACACACATACACAAAATTTTAAATCTACTTTTCTGAATTTACAGATGAAGAAATAATCCCAAAGAAAGGTGGGGACTTTTCCAAAGTCACACATCGAACCCGTGGCAGTTAAGGACCAGCACTGTGGCCTCTTGCCCTGTACCTAGCCCCACATCCCTCCTACAGTATTGGGACCCATGGATTGATTTATGGTTTTGACCAGTGTATGTCCAGTTGAGCAATCTCTCAAGTAATCTGCCAAACATGCCTTCACCCAACAAATCTGGTGCCTGAGATAGACACTGGTGGGTTTGAAAGATGCAGGAGAGATGGGTCCTGCCCTCTGGAAAATTCCAGAGATAAGGTTGACACACAAATGACGAAATGCAGTTGCACGGAGTACTTGCTTGTGGTCAGAATACTGCTCACCCTGTCTTTTTCATATCAGGACGAGGGTAGCACCTCTTCCAGCTCTGTTCAGTTCCCCCAGCAGGTGCCGAACAGAGGCCTCCTGTGCCCCAGGCACCGACAGAGGCATGAACAACATCTCCGTTAGGATGACTCACAGGGTAGGGCCGAGGAGTTCGCAGGCCAAAGAAAAAGAGGAGGAGAAGGCCCAGGCAGGAAGCCTTTTGATGATTTATCAGCACACAAATGTTGGCATCTCTCTCTCTTGGGGAAGAAAACCCACTGCTCATATTAATAATTATGCCAGCTTTTGTAGAGCACTTTGCAGTTTACGGCGTGCTTTCGAATCCATTATTTCTTCTCATCGTGTGCTGTGAGATTGGAGAAGAGGGAGAACAATGAGGGCTGGCTGCTTTGGGGAATTAGCAGCCTTTGTTCCCCAAGGAGTCAAGCCTGGCAAGGTGGGTGGGTGCTGAAGTTATTCTTGCCAAGAATGTGCAGCAGAGGACAAACCCCTGAGTCGCTGTTTTCACGTGAAACCTTTAGCGAGCCTCGCTAGACCATAAGCTGGGCAGTCCGTGCCGGTTTTCCTGCCTAGAATCTCATTTCTCCTTGGGTTGGACAGTTTGGTTGGTGCTGGACATTCTTTCCAGCCCGGGCAGGCCACTCTGCTGAAGGCTGGGCCCTGTCCTTTGCCTGTGGCTGGTGCTAGAGTCCTCCTTCAACAGAGCTGGCTTCCCACTGGAGCGGAGTTGCTGCCACCGGCTGGACTTTGTGAATTGCCACAGTCCTGAGATTCCTGCTGCCACATGTGCCCATTCCTTACAGACCCGGTAGACAGTTGCAGGTGGTGGAGTGGCTAAAATTTAGCAGTCAAACATTGGCACGTGCAGGAAAATATACCTTGCTGAAGGTAGAAGAAATGGCCATCATAACAGAAACACAAATACCAACACCAACACTACCAGCACCACCACCAAAACCAGTCTTTAACCTTGACAGAGGAAGGTAACATTATTCCTTCTAATTTAAATGAGCCCCCACGACCCGGTAAGTAATAAAAGTGACAATTCCTCCTCTCCTTCGGGTCTGTGGCTCCCCTCTCAGGCAGGCTCTTCTCCCGCTCCTCCTTTTCCAAGAGAAAGTCAGGGTTCAGGACACCTTTCTGTCTCCTGGCTTTGGTGGACTCATCTGCCCTGTGCACTGTCCTCCGGGTGACCTGCTCGTCCCTGCTTGTCCCCAGGGCAGCTCTGTCCCCACTGGGTCCACTGTTGGGACTAGTGGCCATTGCTGGGGAAACTTGTAGTCTATTTTCTCTGCACAGACCGAGCTTGGTGAATGATCCGGGGGCTGTGGTGTGAGGAAGCTTCTCGATTTCTCGGCAGTATTCCCAGGACAGGAGGAAGGAAGAGGGCTGCCGTCTCTGGCCACATGGACAATGACCCTCAGTCATTTCTAAGTCACGACATGACACTGTGCTGGACACCTTGCCCAACAGATAGTTTTTTTGAGAACCCTCTTATTTTTCCAGTGTATGCCTGGGTAGCCAGGATTAAACTGCTGTGTGCTGGAATTTCCCTGCAGACTCGTCTGGCCAACCATATCTGTCCCTTTCCTACCCCAGAGGTAGCAACCATGAGAGAGAGCCAGAAATTCTTATCTGACCTCTTTCCCCTACTTTTTCTCTCTCCTGACTCCTCCACGAGCAATGGAAGGATGTTCTATTTCATTTTCAGTTAGCTGGAAGCATATTAATGTCCCCGCTTCCAAGCTCTGTGACCTTCTTTGATGCCTTCCTCCACCTTCACTGAGCAACAGGGATGCAGGGAAAAGAAAAAGCAACTGGATTAATGGAATTACATTTCCAAAATGTGATTCCATTCTTTCCCCATGTCACTCCACAAATATCATGTTACTTTATAACATCGATGTCAGTGTGGACTGACAAGCCACTTGGACATAGCATCATAATTCCGTCACCTTCAGGTGAGTCCCCATACCCGCAGCTGTGCCTGGCCACGTGGCCACAGCATGCCCTGCAGCCAAGCCACATGAGTGACCCCATGGTGTCAGGCCACTTTCCCTGCCTCAGTTTCCCTTATTGGCCCAGCTCACTTAAAACAGAAATTTGCCAAAGAATAAATAGGCTGGTGAGTACTCCAGATAGAATTTTGGCAACTGGATAAGGTTTCACATTTATGACCTTCCTTTCCGAGTCTCTCTTTACATGCTCTCAAACCAGGAAATCCTGAAAGTGCACCCTTTGGATATGATTTTAAATAAAATAACAAGTTTTTGTTAATCTGGGGCCAACCTTTCAGTAAACAGATAACACCAGAGGCATTCTGCACCCTGTAATTTGTATACTCCTCATAAGCTTTTAAAAGGAAGACTAATCATGGGTGTGGATGCCATGGCTCTATAAGAACTGATTTGGCAGGGATGGGGTTGTGCTTTATTTTGGGGTAGAAAATCCAAATTTCTTAACCTGCCCTTTTCATCCCTAAATATCTGTATGGTTCAAAGCTTGGCAAAGGAGGGCAAGCTATTAGTAATAAATTGCATTGCAATTTAAGCCAGTGTGTCTGTGGCCACCTCTCTGTGTGTGCAGAGTGAGTGTGGAGTCAGGACAGCGTGCATCTGGGCCTATTGAGGGGCCCCTGGCAAGATCCCAGGATGGGACGATCTAGGCACATTGCTTCAGGTGGATCCCATCCCACCTGAGATAG